CAAACGGCAACATTAAATTGTCCCATCATGAAGGTTCCAATTAAATCTGGACACGTATTCTGAAACAGCCAGACACTTCCCTCTTATGTATTGCCCAGGACCTGTGCTATTAAGCATCCTTATTTGTTTATCTTGACAACATAGTGCTTACTTGCAATGCATAATAGAATGCCTTGCAAAGAAAAACTGTATTTCCCTTAACCACATAATGATTCATTGTATGATACCTCGTTATCTGGGACTTAACCCAGGAAAAACTGTTCGCAGAGAATGAATGCATGCAATGCTTAAAGGAATGCCTATTGGTTTCTACACACTGCATTAATATGTCTCAGAGATGTATCCCTCTCTAGAGACCTACATGACAAATGCAGAGCTACTGCCACAACAGACAAGGCAATTCACTCCTTGTGGGCCCAATTCCATAAAGTACTAAACATGCAGGGTGTGTCCAGATGAACACACACGTGTGTTTTCCTGGAGACAAAAAGCAGCAGCAGCATGTAGCTGTGTTACTGCTACTTGTCTCCAAGGAACGCTCATGCACACATGCTCTGGCACACGGCTAGTTGCCCTGGGTGGGGTAGGGGAGGCTGAGGCCAGCACCTGGGCTGGCCCCAGCAGTCTTACCTGGGGTTCTGGGTGCTTCCTGGGGCTCCAGCAACAGCAATCCAGCACGCAGAGCCTGGCTGGCAGCTGGAGTGTGGATCTGGCCAGCCAGGCTCTGGTTTCAGGTGGCACACGCTGACACCATGTGCATCACCCCGTTTTTTTCCTAGTCACAGGGTTTTTTGGACACCAGGATCTCCCAATGTCAAAAAAAACCTTCCATGCTGCCAAGCACGGCAAACACCTCCATGTGCTATGCGTATGGTTTGTGGCACCACATACTGCATGCACACGTTCGTCTGGATGTGCCCTCAGCATCCCCAGTCCAGAAGAGCACTCAAGCATGCGAGTTACTCTAAGACACTGGGACTGCTGGTATACAAAATGCTGCACGGGTGTTTAAGCATTTTGGTGGAAGAGCACTCCACGCCCTGTAGGATCAAGCCGTAAGGTACAGCACTTGCATAGATTTAAGCACATGAGTATTTCCATTGTCTTCAGTACCACTAGTGACATCACTGGGACAACCAACCCACATGTTTAAATGTATCCATCTGCTGAAGTGCTTTGAGGGATCAATAATCATTGCTTTAGTGTACTGCAAAATTTAGATTAAGCTTTTGTTGCTGTAAACTGCGATCTTCCAGATGAAGTGCTTTAACACTCAGCAGCAGAAGCATATGCTCTTACCGAAATTAGTTAAATGCATTTCATTATTGCTCTAACAGTCAGAAAGCAAACAGTCAGAGGACCTCAGTAACTGGCAAGTGTGACAGGAAGTGAAGGCTCATGGGTAGCTGGGCAAACAGGTGCTCTGCTGACAACAACATCTTCACTTGAGTGAGAAGGGAACCTGGGGCCATATGGAAAGAAGCTGACAGTCAAAAGTTTCAGTTCTTAGTCTGGGCTGGCTTAGCAGCAGAATGCCACATTAGCAAGAGACAGGTCAGGTGAATGACCCTGGAGATCCCAGAGAAACACAAAGGAAGTTCCAGGATTCTGTTTCCTGAGCATCTCCTTAATTTAAAGCAGGGGTCTTAAAGCCTGTGGCCATCTCTGGCCTGCGGAGCCATATCAGCCAGCCTGCAGGGTTCCCAGAGTGGCTGGGAATTTGGGGACAGGGCCTGTAGCCAAATTCTGGGGTGTGGAGCCCCATTAGGGACACATCTCAGCAGCAACAGGGCAAGTACTAGCCCCTGCAGCTCCCTGACGCTGCTCACCCTGCCAGCAGAGGCAGTTCCAAATCCAGCACACAAGAAGCCCCCTGGTTCAGATCTGGCTGGAAGTCCAAATGTGTTTAACTCCCCTGGCCTGAAGCACTACAGTCCTCTTGCCAGAGTATCATTTTGCCATAAACAGGACCCTCATTTGCGATTGGATCCAAATCCCAATGGAAAGGGTTGGCACCCAGCTGGGGCCTAAATGCAGAAGGAGCTCAAGACAATTAAGACCTCCCCAAATCAGGTGCTGATTAACTACTAGGAGGCTGCAAAGATATACACAGTCAAACTCAGTGAGGCTAGCCCATTCCCTGTCCCTACTATGTCGGCACCTACCTCATTCCCACATAGGCTGATGTTAAAGAAATGAAAGAATTTGGTTCCTCTAGACGTGAAGCTGGGTCCACTCATTAACGAGCCCACCCCACTGAGGTTACTGAAATCATAATTCAGGCTCTGGTTATCCTTCAAATACGACACCAAGCAGTCACTGAAGCACGTGGAGTGGTCCTTCCAGAGGAAGAAAAGTATATTAAAAGACAGTTACAGACCCCCTGAGTAAAAGCAAATGGAAGTATATGGTTCCCCCATCTATAAGGAGTATGCTTGGCTCAGAGCTCCCCCTTCTCAGCTGGTGAGGTGAGAGCTCCCATTTCTATTTAAATCTATTTTAACCAGAATCCACAGCTTCTACATACTGTAGGTTGTATACTCTATATTTGCAATCAGTCTGCAATTCTAGTCCACAGAGGGCCATAGCAGATTTATGTAGCCCACATTGCCCTCTCCCCCATCTTCTGGTAACTACATGATGTATACATTTATGAATTAGTTACTGACTTAGTGTACTAACAGATCTGATGCTTTAAACCTTGTAATAGAGGCCTGTGTTTTTAGATCTGGAAGTCCTGGGTTCAGCCTTTGTAGATGGACCTCACAAGGACATTGTCACACTTACACATTGCAAGAGGACACACAGAACCATAAGCTGAGTGTTTTGTTAGCAATTGCAAACAGACATGGTGCCAGGAATGAATCTGGAGCAATGGCACTGTTGACTAACTACATCACAGAGTTAGCAGTGGCCATTTCCATGGTGAAGCAGACAGCTCTGTCCTTGGGCTGAGAGCTTTGAGCTCCTAGCTGAGTGATTGCTGCCTGTGTCTGACAAAAGCCCTAACAAGGGGGCAGGGCCAGTCCATGCTCCGCAGAGAATAAAAGGAGATCCCCTGAGTGATCAGGGAGTGAGCAAACAAGGGGAGCAAACAGGGCAGTTTTTAAGCCAGTTTGCCACCCCCCCTCTTTGAAGGGGAGCCTTTAAGGATGTTTATAGATGTGTTCCAGGGGGGTGTACCTCAACTGGAGCAGCTCTGAGAGCCGCTCTAATTAAAGTGCCTGGAGCATCAAGTGCATCATCGAATGAGCTTTAGTTAAAGTGCCCCTGCCGCCATTTTTCAGTGTGGAGACACTGATATATGTGATGCCGGAGTCTGCTGGAATGTGGCAATTACCCATGCATGCCCCTCTGGATGCACCCCTAGGTAAGAGGTTGAAAGCCAGGACCCCTATGGTAGCATAGTGCCATATACAGGATCAGTTAGACAGGGAGAGCTCCAGAGCCTAAACACATGGCTGAGATGATGGTGTTGGGAGGAAGAGTTTAGGTTTAGAACTGGAGGAATCTTTTGGAACAGGGGGAACCTATACAGAAAGGAAGGTTTCTACCTGAGCCAAAATGCTACAAAACCTCTGGCATATAACATTAAAAAAGTGGTAGAGAATCTTTTAAATTAAAATGGGGAGAAAAGCTGACAGGTGCAGAATACCACACAGTTCAGACTGACACTCCCTACAGGAGTGAAACCACCCTAGGGTCCTGAAGGAGCTGATAACATTCACCCCTAGGGTGCTGAAGAAGCTCAGATCAGAAATTACTGAAGTCCTAACTGTAGCATGCAACCTACCACTAAAAACAGCCTTGGTACCAGAGGACTGGAGGGTCACCAGCGTGACTTCCATATTTTAAAAAGGGTCTAGAAGGAACGCAGGGAACTACAGGCTAGTAACTTCTGTTCCTGGAAAACTGGTAGAAACAATAATAAATAAAAACAATTGTTCAGCACGTGGATGAACATGATTTGCTGATGAGGAAGCAACACAGCTTTATCAAATGGAAACTGTGCCTCACCAACCTACTAAAGTTCTTTGGGGGTGTCAATAAGCAGGGGGACTAGGGCAATCTGGTTGACACTGGGTACATCTACATGTGCAATTAGCATGTGGCAATAAACTCTGGTACAGTTTGTTCTGCAGTTTATTGCTCCCAGGTGCAGCATTTACACATGCACCCAGGACCACAGGATGTCGAACCAGGGGAGAGAAGCCCCAGCTAGCAGGGAGCACAGAGGAGGTTAGCTTGCCAGCCTGAAGCTGCTCTGGCCCAGCTGAACATGCTGCAGAGGGGCTGGCTGGGGCATGAGGCTGCTACAGTGAGGGGCTAGCTGGCACGTAACTTCTGCACTGTAGCACCCTTGTGCCCCAACAAGCCCAAGTCACCTACTCCACGTGCATTTCAGTGCACATAAATGCTCCACTTTAGAATAGTATTTGTCCTGGACAGTACTATCCCACAGCAGAATTAATTATTTTACTGCACCCTAATATGGGCACATGTAAACAGTGATGCTTTACTGTGGATTAGTCAGCTCCACAGTAAAACAGATGTGTAGATGCACCAATACTGTATGTGGACTTCCAAAAAACCTTTGAAAAGGTCCCCCATCACAGACTCTTAATTAGATTAAGTAGTCACAGAATTGCAGGGAACGTCCACTCATGACTTAAAAACGGGCACAAAGCTAGAAAGCAAAGAGTCCCTATAAAGGGTATAACTTCATCTGCCTATAAAGGGTCAGCTTCAAGATGGGAAAAAAAGTAAATGGTGGGATCCCCCAGGGATCTGGGTTGGGACCAGGGATGTTTAACATGTTCGTAAATGTTCTTGATAAAGGGGTGAGTAGTGAGATGGCGAAATTTGCTGATGACAAAATTATTCAAAGTGGTAAAGACCAAGGCAGACTGTGAGGAACTACAGAAGGATCTGGCACAACTGAGCAAATGAGCATCTAAATCGTAGGTGCAATTCAATGTAGATAAGTGTTGTGATACATGTGGGCAAAAATAACTCAAACTATACAAAAACTCCATTAGCTGTTACCACAAAGGAAGGAGATCTGGGAGTCACTGTGGACAGTCTGCTAAAAACAAGAGCTCAGTGCTCAGCAGCCATAAAAAGGCAAACAAAACATTAGGGATTATTAAGAAGGGAACTGTAAACAAAGCAGAAAGGATCATTACGCCCCTTTATAAATCCATAGTGCATCCACACTTTCAATACTGCACCTAGGTCTGGTACCCACCCCTCATAAAGAATATAAAAGAACTAGAGAAGGTATAGAGAAGGGCAACAAGGATGATCTGTGGTATGGAGGGGCTTCCATATGAGGAGAGACTAAGAAGGCTAGGCCTATTTCATTTAGAAAAGAGATGCTTGAGGAGGGAAAATGAGAAAGGTTTACAAAACACTAAATGGCGAAGAGAAGTAAATAGGGATTTATTACTTACTCTCTCTCTGAATACAAGAACCTGGGATCACAAAATGAAACTAGTAGGTAGGAAGTTTAAAACCAACTAGAGGAATTATTTTTCACACAACATACAATTAAAGTTGTGGAGCTCACTGCCACCAGACATTGTGGAAGCTGACAGTTTAGCTAGATTCAAAAAGAGGCTAAAGAGACTGGACAATTGCTTGGAGGAAAGGAGACTCAGTAACTATTGAGCATTGTGAGTTAAGAATGAGAACTTCCTAGATCTTAAATGCTGGAGGCTGCAAGTGATAGAGGAACAATGGTTAAAACCCTGGTCATGCCCAATTCACCCTCCCTTTCAGCATCCACACACTGCCACTGTGTGACACAAGATACTGGACAAGATGGACTGACGGTTTGACCCAGTCAGTGGCAATTCTTATGTAGTTATGTTTTTAAACCACTTTCCATCTCTGTACCTTGGTACTTTTACTGCCAGGCCCACAAGAGACACAAGCCTCTTTGCCATACACCTGATGTACGGATAGACAGGTGTTGGCTGGGCATTCCTTGCACTGGTTGGTTTCCTTCTCAATGTAGTGTCCAGCTGGGCATGGCACGCAGGATGAACCGAACTGCTCCGAACCCAGCGCGCAGGCCCGACAAGATGAGGCCACTCCATCCACAGCGTTGGTCACCACGATTGAGTAGATCTTCGCCATGTCATTGATGAATTGCCTGCTCTGCAACAAGAGCGGGAGAAATAATCCCAGTCCATGTTACACAATCAGAATCTCATCTTTGAATCAAATCTCACAACAGCCCTGTGCAGTAGAAGACCTCCAGTTCAAGAAAGCACTTAGGCATGTGTATCAGAGGCTGGAAGGAACCCTTAGGGAAGCATGCTGTACCCTGTCTGTGATTAATAAGTTGCTTCCCCCAGTGCTTGGTCTGAAGGCAGGGATCAGGGGGCAACCTGCAGGTCACCAGGGTCCAAATCCTAATCCATTTATTAGGTGCCTAAGTGATTCTATCCCATCCTGCTCATCCCTGGAAAACAGCTTACACAAAAGGTGGATGAGTTCTGCTCCTGCTCTCTGCCTTTTTGTGATTTAATCTTGAGTTTAGGATGGAAGCATGTTACAAAAGTATTTATAGTCATGCTCCAGCCATTTATACACATGCTCCAGGAGTGGTGGCGGGAGCGGGATGCTTTAATTATTGCAGCTCTCAGAGTAACTCCAATTAAAGCGCCTGGAGCATCACGTGTGTTAGCATCCCTACACTGAAAAACAGCAGCAGGGGCATTTTAACTAAAGCTCGTCAAAAGTGCCCTCACCACCATTTTTCAGAGCAGGGACGCTGATACACATGACGCTAGAGTCTGCTGGAGCATAGTAATTACCACCGTCCAGCAGACTTAATTAACTGAGTCTGCTGTGATGTGCAACATGCAATTACAGCACGTTGGAGCAGCCTCCCTCCATGTGTATAGGCGCCCATCAATGTTTTGTCTGGGACTTGAATAAGGTGGAATAGATAAGAATCTGGTTCTTAGATAAAACAACCTTTTTATCTAGCTCTTAGATATGAAGCCAAGAAGCAGTTGAGTTGAGAGTGAAATCTCTTGGCCGTCTAAAGGCCAGCTTCTAAAGGAACACTAGAGAAGGGACTGGATAATAGCTGACTTGTGGTGTGGTGTTTAGGACACTGCGCTGGACCCCTGTGGCAGCCAAGAGAGTAAGGTATGTGGGGTCAGGAGGAAGGACACAAGGCAGAGGATGTGTAGCTCAGTGAGATGATATTGCTTCTAAAAGGAAGCAGGCCCTGGATTCTTCCCAGGAGCCTTACAGAAACTTCTGCATTGCTCCCCATCCATGTTATGCAGTAACTATTAAATGCAGTGGCTCAGCTTCAGGAGTCAAACCCATTCTGTGTCAGGGAGCCTAAAGGTTGCATCTCCTGCTTCCTCGGCAAGTGCCTTAACTACTCAGCTACTGGAGCTAAAATACAAGAGGGTCCCCCCTTCCTCTCATGCCCCTTCACTTTTTTCCAGGGCTTGTCTTTGTACACATGCATAGTGAGCTGTGTGCGCACAAGCCTGTACCCACAGTCATGCAGAGCCAGTGCATAATCCGAAGTGTAAAGCAGAGCCCAAAAATGGCCAAGCTTCCACTTAGACACACAGAGGCAAGAACTACCCCATGAACAGCTTCCCCTCCCCACCCCTTTTTTTTTCCATTAAGGGCA